GTGTGTGTGTGTGCGTGTGTGTTTTTATGTATGTGTGTGTGTTTATGTGTGTGAGTGTAATTTTCTTTTTCGCTGATCATTTGTGGTGTAATTTAAAAGAAAACATGCGATTTCAGTTATCACAAAACCACCGGGTACAGCATATCCATTTGATTTGCGAGGAAGTCTGAAACAGGCCGGGCTGGAAACAATCGTCCATGAAACAACAAGCGAACGACATATGCTCAATCTATTTTTGTGTAAACTACAAAAACTCGACCCGGATGCATTTGCGGTTTTTATTTTTGAGAAATTTTTAATATCACTGTGGACAGTGTTGCAGCTTAGAAACTGACATTAAATGTAATTTCTACATCCGACTTGAAATTACAATGCGTTTTCGATTTCGAAGATCTCCAGTAGTTGTTATTGGGAATCATTTACTTATATCCGCATATTTTAAGCAAACGCGCCTTCGGTAAAATGCTACTTTATCTATTATTACTACTCATCATCTATAATACTTTTTACTTTTACTGGCATAAACTTTCTACTTTTGTTATCATATTTTATACGGCTAATTTGAATTTAATTTATACCGCTTTCAATTACTATAGTCGTGATACTGACGAGGTCCAATGTGGCAGCAGTAAGAAATATATACTACTTAATGGACTGAAACATTTCTTACCATTATCATAGTTTTATTAAAGTAATTTTACTACTGCTACTAGTTTCTTAATATTATTTGCTCTTCCATTCTCTTTCCCGTTTCAAAATACCTTCCTATTAAGATCACTCATTTGCTATTCATTTCGGGCAAAAATAAGCAAATTTCAGTCGAAGAGCAATAATACACTTATATTTGCCTCAGAAAATTGAAGTTTACTCTGATTGTTAAGACTTTTGGGGAATTTTAGGGACATGATTTGTCGGCTCAGTTATCGCTTTTATCGTCACGTCTAGAAAAACTTAAAATTAATAATTGGTCACGTGTGAGCCGGCTGAAACGAGCAATTACAATCAGGCAAATATCCAGCAGCAAGTCATCACAATGGGAATTGACAGCCGGACGTTTCATATTGGATAGCAGGTTAAAAAAGACACTTTTTGATACAATGCTTATTTCTTTTTTTCGTGTGTTTCGATTGTTTTTATGCATTCAACATCGGCTATTCTTGTTTTCCTGTAAAATTTGCTATATTTCATTTTATTTTTCCCCTCGTTGAGCTAAATTTTTCATTTTCTTGGCATATCATTCTCTTTTTTTTGACCAAATTTTAGCACTTTCTCGCTCTCATTTAGTACCATTAGACTAATTTTTTATTGCGAAATTAATTTAGTTTAACATTAATTACAACTTTGATCCGAAAGTTTCTGTTTGCTTCGTCACTTTGCCTTGTCATTTTTAGATGCAAGTTCGGTTCTTGATGTTTTTTATTCAATTACGAGTTTTTGAAAATGATTTTCAGGTCATCCGCAATGGAGCTTGTGAGAATGCGAAGCTACGATTTATGCGAGTTAGCATCAAATTTGCTTGGAATGAAACGAGACGCTCCATCAAATGACAGTATTGCTTCTTTCTTTGCGTTAGTTTTATCTGAAAAATTTGACTCTGAAATTGCCCACTGTTTGTGCTACTAATTAGGTTTTTATACTACTAATAGTACTTCTTTTTAATTTGCGGTGTTGCCTAAAAGTGTAGTGTTTGTTGTGTTTTCAGCGTCTGTTTTTGCTCAGTAAACCGGTCGTAGTGACCAGTTTACTGAGCAAAAACAGACGTTGAAAAGATTAACTTGGGGTTAGTTTACTGATCGACTTGAATTAGGACAAACTTTGTAAACGTTGATAACTATAAAAGCAAAAACTGCGACATCAGACTTGCCCTTATATTGTCTCTTGTTAATGAACTGAATTTATTCGACAACAAAGAAAAATAGCACCGTAGAAGGTCTTCTAAAATCCCCTATTAGTCTAGAGCGAATAAGTA